ATCAGGTTTTTAGTAGCACCCTAAGTAGTTGTCTTCTACCTCAATAGTTTTTTTAGCTCCTGTTTCCATATTAGCCATTTCTTCATCTGCCTTTGACATATTCCTCATTTAGTTGTTTCTAAGGCGACATCATATGAAATACTTTACTTTAGGATGAGAAAAACATTGAGGATTTTCTCTGCTAAGAATCCATTAAGCTTATTAGAGATAGAGCAGGTTAGAGACCTACCTTGGATTAAAGATATGCTAAACTATACTCTTTTGTCTATCTCTGCCAGCTGTTGAAATGAAAATAACAGTTGGTGTTTAGCTAGATCAAAATTTTTCATGCTTTCTAAAATATAGAAGATACTCTTGTTTTTCTCCCAGCATCTGTTCCTGAGGAAACATATCAATTTACTAGTTTGGGCAGGTTCCTGTGTTGGTTGTATCAGGGTTTTGGATAGAGATGGGATTTCTTTGCCCGAAAATATTAAGCCCTTAGATTTTTTTTCTGCTCCAGATGCTCTCTCATTCACCTGAGTCACTCCATCTTGGCATGTCACTGTGCTGACTAAAAACTGAAATTTTTATTTCATTTTTTGGCCCATACTTAGGTTATCTTTCACCCCAGCCCCCAATTTTTACAGCTTAAAGCTTCAAACTCCTCTTTTTGCTCTCTATTTGTTTATATGACTAAAGAATATTTTACAATGTGTTTTTAATTTCCTTTGCAAGGTGTAACATAGCCCTGCTTTTGGCAGATCTCACTTTCTCCCCACACTTTCTGACCTATAAGATACAATTTTCCATGTTAGTCAGCCCCTTTTTTCCCATTTCTTGTAGGCTCTTTGCCTGCTCCTCATATTCCTTTCTGGTTGGATTGTCACCAGTTGGGTCTGGAGTTCTTCATGAATTTTTTCTCCTTCCTGAAATGCAGACACAGTTATATATCTTTGACTTCAAGAATCTCCTTTGCAGCCAAGTCTCAATGTTCCATCACTCCTCTGAGACTAAAAAAAGCCAAGCACAAGAAGGCAGAACAGCACAGGGTTTTTATCTTTCTGTTCAGAAAGGGCTGTGATCTGCTTGATCTGGGCTATTTTCCACAGCCACCTCTTCAACAACATCCTCTCTCTGTTTGAATTAGCACTGCCTCAAGAAATATATTTTTTAAAATGTCTGCCAGCAGTCCAGAATCAGGAAGAATGGAGCTGTCATCACCTGTAGCCTCAGTTTTATTATTGATACTATTCTGCTCTGATTAATCTCCAGTAGCAGGAGGTCTCCCACAGTTCTGTTGACTGTTTAATGCTATTCCACTGTCCCATAACCACAGCCACATTTTATCTAGAGGGTTTAGTGGATCTATGTTACTGCTGTAGTCACATGAAGATTTGTAGTGCTTTTCAAGAAGCCAATTGACCTTGATTAATTTTATAATATCATGCTTTTCCTCCTGCACGCACGACCACATCAGTAATGTACAGTGCTTTTCTGTCACCCCTACCTCCCTACCCGAGTTCTGCCTTGCTCTCAATACTGACTCCAGCCAGAAGGAATGTCCCACTCTCTTGTAAATGCCTGGTTTCTGCTCCTGCAGCAGCAGATTTGCCTCCTGCACCTCACTGCATGGGCTCATTGCACGGCGTCCAAGCAATCAGCTCTTGCACCTCAACCTCTCTCAATCTCCTTGCAAGTGAAGTTGATCCACTGCCTTTTGCTCACCTGGCCACCCATCTTGTGAATACAGCTTTGTGTTTTCTCCTTGCTTTGCAGATTCCTATCTTAGCTATGTTGGTTTTTTCCTTCTTCTTCACTTATTCCATTTTGTGTTTCCTACCTATTAACCTGGGTGAGATAACTTGAGTCTGTTCCAGCCTTAACCTTGGCACTTTAATTCTCCATGTACAAAGGCAGCTCAGTTCACCGAAGACAATTTTCTTCCTGTGAAAGCTTTCCAGTAATTTAATGTGCCAAAACCATCCTTTCCAGCTCTGTCCTTGAGCTGTTTGTTGGTTTTGTAAGCTTGAAAAGCTTTCACCTTTTCTTGCTAGGAACTAGGAACTCTGAGACTTAAACTGCAAATCACTTAAGCCTTCACCTCTTTGGCAGACAAAAGAAGTACAAAAAAATCACAAAAAACATCACGAAAAACTTCAGAAAAAAACACATTTCCCCTCCCAGTCTTCTCTTGTGGCATAAAGAGATCTAAAAATGCACGTACATGGAATTTTCTCCAGAGCAACAAATAAAAACAAGATTCAAAGAAAAAGTAAAAATTAAAAACCAATCTCTGTCATTCTTAAAAATATGTTTTTCTGTATTGGTGAAGCTTTGTACATGCAATCTTACCTAGCTGCTGTGTGTTGCTGATAACTTCCCATCTGACATACTACAGCAAATTTGTTCCCTTGTATAGATAGATGTCAATGTGAAATATACTCTTAAAATGGTTAAGACTATAATAATGCTTCATTAAATATATATTTGGAAAGGAGGAGGTTGCTCTAAATGAGAAAATATTGACAAATATTTAAGATAGAATCAATACAGTCAGTCTTTCTAAGTTTCATATTAAGCAATAAAAAATATTAAATGAACAGTCTGTAGCACAGTTTCTTACACAGGCTTTCCAAGAGTCAGCACTTAGTGTTTTCTTTGATACACATACATTAATTTAATATGTATGCTTTGCCTAAGAACATGAATAAGTCATTCCTTTTAATGTTTGCATTTGCATGTTTAATTTAAGTATGGGAATCAGTGGAAACGCACTTAAATGCTTATGCTGGTTTATTCACTTTATTTTGAAAATTATTGTGTGCAGCGTGGGTGAGAAGGAAGTAATCTAAGTAGAAGCAGAGTTGATGGGAAAGTAGGTTATAATTTACTTACATGTCTGTGTAGTGGACATGTGGTCAAATATGCAGGGAAATCAATATTATCTGATGCATTAGTATGGGATTTAAAAAGATTATCAACATGATCAGGACCAGTTTCTGTAAAAATGGAAGTTACATATTTCCTGCCCCTACCCTGCTATAAGGACTATCCTACCTGCTTGCACTCAAGTTCCCTGCAATCACACCATTTGTAGAGGCAGAGCTGAGGGTTTCATGAGCATCTATGAGCATCTATGAGCTTTTTGGCTTCCAATTACAAGATCATGATTATTTTTCCATAATTCTCTGGAAGTGCCCACTCCATGAGAACTTCAGAATTTCTTTAAAAACTAATTGAAGAAGCCTCAGAACTTTTATAGAAATTCCTATTTCTACAATTTCTGTAGTATAGAATAGAAATTCCTATTTCTAAATTTTCTATAGAATATAGAAAATAGAAAAACACATTTTTGGGGTTGATATTTGTGAACAAGGCTGTAATAACAGATTCTATTAGGAGAAGGATATTACTTCCGATTAAATGATAAAACTTAATCAGAAAATGTAAGGTAGACTTATCTTCTTTTAATAATATCAGGGAAGGTTTGTGGATGGGCAGATGATGGGAAAAAGAAGGGAGGGGGTGCTATTAGTTTGTGGCAGTGTCCCAGGGATGTTTTAATGCATTTCTCCTGAGGAGTTTCATAGAGCTCTTATGGGAGATGTGATGCTGCCCTGTGCAGGTGCCCATCTCTCACATGGAAGTCTCTTAGCAAATGTGGTCTGACAAAGAGGGGATTCATGTTCCAGGGATTCCTGAGCAAGCACTGAGCCCAGTAAAGCACCTTGTGGTTCTGTCTTTTACAGGGAAGAGATGGGTCCCAAAGGAAAGCAAGCCAGCAAGCACGATGCCCCCACTGCCCCCAGCTCCTTTTCAGCAGAAGCTCTGGGTGCCAGGGATGCCCTGTAAGCTCCCACTCCTCCCTTGCCCTGTGGGAGCTGGAGCTCACTGCTCTGCCTCTTTCCTCTGTACCTGGAGACATCCTTGGTTTTGGTTGCTCCCTTCTGCCCCTCCTCACCCTGGGGGACCTGGGCTTTGTATCCCCCATCACCCTCCTCCATCCTCTCTCTTCCTACTAGGAATCAAGGTCCCCCTGAGCACTCCCTGCCCAGCTCCTCTGCTTCTCATTCCCCCAGAATTTCTGTCCAAAATGAGAGCTTTAGCAGCCACCATCACCCTCAGTTTGCAGGAAGTCACCTTCTTACCCCAGAAGAAAACTATTGGTGAAATCTTTTGTTTGGATTTATCTTTTTTGGAGCCTGGATGGGGGCTGCAGGATCCAGCCTGAAAATTCTTGTTGGGTTGGAGAAGAATTCATCAGAATCTGGCTACTTTGTTCATTGCTTTTAGCTGCTTTGCAAATAAATGCAGCCAGAGATCTGACATTCCCAGGCCTGCATCTCAGCAAGCCTTTTCTATTCAGAAATATTCAGTTCTTCAGCAAACAGACAGAGAAACCACAACAGGGTAACTTCTGGCCTGACCCAAAGAGTGATGGACAGCAGGGAAGGGACAAAGCTGGGGAAGACTGGAGGGTTGCAATTACTCAGTTTTAGCCTATGTACTTCTGGAAGATTTTACACATTTGTTTCATACCTGTTTGACAGTTAGCATGGTCTCACATTTTGTAGACATCCCTTAAGAGTGAATGTTGAGCAGAATTATAAATGCCACACAGGAAAAGGCTTTATTTGGATCTTCTGTCTATCTTGTTTAATCAAGGAGTTCAGTGATGTAGAACTAGTTGTGTATCACCAAAATTGTGGGTCTTCAGGTTTTATTAAGTCTTTCCTCTTTTTTTGAAACAAAGTCATCAAAAAATATTCTATTTTCCCTGTCACATTTAAAAGCACAGCACAATTTCCTTATGAATTTGGGAAAACCAATAAAATATTCAGGGTTTTTTGTTCTTTTGGACATATGATCCCAATTATTTAAAGGCAAAGGATGATTTACTGTATAACATTGAACTTTCTCCTCTTTTTGAAGTGAATGCTCCTGAAACTTCACTAGTTTGATTTAATTTGCTGAAAGAAGAAATTTGCTCCAAAGACAATTGCAGAATTCCAGCTCACCTGCTCCAGAAGAATTCAATCTCGGGCTTGTCTTCCTTTTTTTCCCCTATATAAAGGTACAAAAATAAGATATCAACTGGAGACCAAACAGTAAAATGCTGAATCCCAATTTCTTGATGTACTTGCCATAAAGCACAAAATGCCTGGAACATAAATGAACCTAAAGTGAGAAGCTGAAGTTCATGTTTTACAGCACTGTAAGGCATCATTGTAAACATAACAGTGTGTCACTGGTATGAGGGACTAAGTGAGCACTGCACAAAACAAGGTCCTGCCAGCTGAGGAGGAACTCATTTCACACCTGGCAGAACTGCCCTGGCCTTCTGCTGGTACCTCTCAGGGTTCTGGTTATCTGCAACCCAGCTGCAGGTCACCCCAACATGCCAAGAAATTATGTGGAGCAGCTCTGTGCCTCCTGTGGAGGGATTCCTTTGCCCCTTGGACCTGCAGATATTCTCAAGCCTGGATGTGCTTCAGCACCTGCTCAACACAGCTGAATGTCAGGTGTTTCACACTCTGCCCAGGACTCAGTTACTGCTCAAAACTCCCCTCGTGTGTTATGCAGTGAGAAATCTGCCACTGTAGAGCAGGGACTGGACTCTTGCCACTCTCCTGTAAATGCATTCACGTGTCTACAGTCCCTCCTGGACTGCTTTACCTTCTGGCAATATGGAAAGAGCCATTTCTCACCCCCAATTCTACACACTGTGACATGCAAAAGTCAACCTGAGCATTGGCACTTACAAGCTCTGGTGAGAGCATTTCAGGGGTTTTCCAGCAGCTAGAACTGAGAGCGGGGATTGCTGCCCTGGTGAGGATGGTGTTTTGAGACGGGGCGAATGCTCCCTCTGGAGGTGTCTCAGCGAGCGCAGAGGCAGCCGGGGCACGCACTCTGCTGCAGGCACAGCCAGGAGAAATCCCCAGCATTCCCTAGGCTGGGAGGATGATCAGGAGAGGAGGGAAGAGGTTTCTAAATCTGCTGGCCGCTTTCTGTCACAAAAAAGTACAATGATTGAGACCTCAGAGGTGTACAAGTCCCTGCTTCTACTTTGGCATGGGAGGACTCCCAGGGAACATTGGAGGTGGTCCCAACAGAGGGGGTTGCTGAGATTACAGCCCACAGCCACGTGAAGTGGGGTTTCACCTGCTTTCAAAGATGCTGATGACCCATGGGATCTTCAGCCCAGTCAAGCACAGCTGTATCACTCCCTCTGCCCAGCACACTGCAGCACATCCCTCCTCACTTTGACATGAATTTGCTGGTCTTGCTACAGGCACACAGAGCAATTCAGTCCCAGGTGTAGGGAAAATCAGCCCTGTTGATTTTTGCACCACTGGAGGGGAAAAGCTTGGCAGAAAAGGGAAGCCAAATTTGGCACAATGTTAATATGGGGCAGAAAGCTCATAAGCTCATGGGGCATGTCTGTGTCTGTACTTGTGTGGCCAGACACTTCATAACCAAGAAAGTGTATGTCATGCTGAGCAGATCTGAAAGAGAAACTTACCCTAACAAACCCAGCATTTAAAGATGGAGGAAAATAAATAAGATGAAAGTGTGTTTCTAACACTATAGCTCTGTTGTGGTTTACAAAATTAGCCTAAAGCACTTTCCAAAATAATTTTCAACACTCCTGAAGGCTTGCAAATAATTTTTTTTCCCTTTGGTTTGGGATTGTTTGGCATTTTTAATTTAGAGAAAAAAAATGCTTTTTTTCTTCTGGATTTTCTGAAATACAGGAATAAGAGGTACAATATATCTGTCTGCTTAGTAGGGCAGGGTACTGTGGGCTACAGGCCTCCTCCTTCCTAAATGCTGCCTCTTCTTTCACTGAGGGGTGGTGGAGACCAAGTAGTCCTGCTGGTCATCCTGGCACCATGTTCAGGTCATTCAAAGATGTTGTGGCAGCATCTAGTGCAATAGAATGTGAAATCATGGCTATTTACAGTGTAAAGTCTACTGGCAGAGAAGGAAGATAAAACCTGTGTAAAATTGCCTTTGGTTGCTGTAAGTCACTGGTGGTTGTGGTTACACAGGAAAAATGGTAAATTATTTTTGTTAGTCTTATAACAAGTTTGTCTGCTTTCTGATTATTTGCACCAGCCTTTCCCCAGCCTGTGCTCATTTTAGCTGTGTGTTCAGCCATCAGTCTGTCACTCACAGGGCCTCGATAGTGCTCAGTCTCACAGGGACAGCAGGGCTGAGCTCATAATTAAACCTGGAGACCATTGCATCTGTAAAAGGATTCATTGTAAGTATTCTAGTGACCACACTGGTCCCCTTCAACCACCATCACCAAGTGTATTTGATAATTTGTGGTATGTATGTATGTATATATGTATGTATTATTGGTTATTATTATGTTATAATTAATATTATAGTATTTATGTTATATAATTCTATATTTGCTCCTTTTGCTCCTTTGGGGGAGTTGAAATGTCTCTGTCAAAGCAGGCAGCTGTGCCAGAGGCAAAGAGCAACCTCGAAGTCTCTGCAAATGGATCCAAGGGAATCAGAGCTCCCCCAGCACACAGCTCATCCCCTCACACAACTGCTCTACCGCCACCCCACACAAAGCAGCCTCAGACAGTCACTGACCAAGGGAACAATGTGACAAACCTCTTGGTCAGAGGTCCCTTTGAAGCTGAAAACTCAGGGCCTTTTTTTCCACATCTGGCCAATTCATGTTTGTCCCAAAAGTGGAAGGGAAATGCATTGGTCACTTTTGGACTGGGGGATTTGGGCAGAGGGACCCTCAGGCTGGTTTTGGCCTGGGGTTAATCCTGACTTGGAGATGTCTGGGGCTCAGTGCTGGTTTGCAGGCAGTCCAGGCTAATCCAGGATGTCCCCATGGTTGCTCCACATCGGCTGCCTCCCCTGTGCTTGGGGGGTCACAGCAGTTGCCCTTAGTTTTTTGCTATTCCCAGCATAAGGATATTTATCAGGAGATAAGGTGGTCTTTTTATAGTCAGACCTGGAGTTTCCATGGTGAAATTAGCCAACAGGAGTTTCCTTTGCAAAGCGGAGCATATCCTTTACTGGCAAAAACATGTTACTCCCTTGGTTGTGAGGAAGTGTCATTGTCCGAAATCTATTCTGGTGTTTAAGGGCTCTGTATCCTCAAAGAAATATTTTTAACCTGAAGGGAATATTTATACTGTCCAGTCAGAGCAGTTCACTGGGTTATTCTTAGTTCTGCTTCTGTGTCTGCTTTATCCGTGCATCATTTTTCCCCCTATTGATCTTTTTTTACAAATAGAAAATGAAAGCAAGGGTAATAGTTTAAAGTCATTCCGGGAATTAATCCACTGACAGGGCCAAAGTAAACCCAGGGATTAATTTGATTTCCCACAGTCAGTGTGTATCCTAACCAACAGGAGTGATACAATATTTTCTAAAGTTTTTTGAAGCCTTTGAAGATGCCCACAGCCAGATGATGGCTGGATCAGCTCTTAGTACCAGGCATTGGCAGAAAACCACCTCTTGTCCTTCTGATATTCAACGTGCTGGGCTGGAAAGTAAAAAATCATTTTATTTTAAACTAGGCACCTTGAAGAAGGAATTAATAAAGAGCTGATTGTGAAACCATATGCAAAAGTTCTGGTGTTGGCACAGAGTTCCATCCATGGGCTAGCCCTGACCTCACCCTGGTGGATGAGGACCAGCTCCATAAAATCCCACAGGACAATGACACTGTGGGCCTGGTGTGGGACCACAGTCACAACCAAAAGGCAGCTGGGGATTATACATGTGTAAGTTAAAGGAATTTGGTTTTTTTGTTTTTCCCTTAGGCCTGGTTAATAAATTGTCATTTTGCTGATGCTGAGTGTCTAAGGCTTTTTTCCCTTCCTGCTGAGGTCAGCATGACCACCTGCCCATTTTCAGCGCTTTGCAGAGTGAGGGTCTTACAGTGCTTATCTGCTCCAGCATCCTTGTCTTCCTTTCCCTGATGCTCCCGTGAGGGAGTGAAGTGACTGTGATGGATGTGTTTTACACTGCTAACAGTCAGTTAGAGCTACCTGCTCCCCCCTGATGGAGCAGCTCTGATTCTGCTGCAGAATAATGAGAATTAATGACTCATTCACTAATTACACTTTTGTTGTATAGTTTTGTGCTTATTTGCTGCAGGAGCTGAGCACCCTTGACTTTCTGATGGCAAGGCATGAAGCACTCTTGAAAATCAGGGTATTGAATGATGTATAAGCACGGGCTTGAAAACATGCTTGAGCTGTGACATGTGGATCTCATCTGCATTGCTGAGGTCACCAGGGCAGATCTGCCTTCTGCAAAGGGAGGGCTGCTTCAGGCAGTTCAGAAATGCCCCTCTAAATACATTCATGGCTGTGAAAAAATCTCAGTGCAAAGTAGTTCTTTGAAGCACTTATTTAAACATAAATATGAAGAGAAAATGTAGATAAAATAATTCACATTGGAAAATTCCAAACATTCAGTTAAAACCGTATGGGTAATAAATCTTATATCTTATTCTTCTAAAATAAGAAATTAATCGAAACAAAAAGTCATGTGCTACAGAATATGATCTTGAATTTTTATATCTACATTAATCAAAAAAATTTGGGCTAAAATCATCAAACACCGGTTTCTTATAAACACAACAGATATACATCAGTAAAGGCATGGACATGCTTTCAGAAAGAGAGGTGCTGCAAAACTGCCCCTGGCAAGCTGTGGAAATAGACTCACACTTTATCTAATGCAGCAAACTCATGCACCAAACCCAAATCAGGACGCTGGATTTTAAGTCTGGTTTTACCTCTGAGCCATAATGTGCTGCTTCCCATGTGCAATGTTACTGCTGGTATTGAGCAGTGGGATGTGGCTTTCTGCAGTGCGTGACTTTGTGGGACTTTAGGGTCACCTTGCTTCCAGGAGACAAAACTATCATTAGTGGCAGGTCACTCCAAATCAATGCCATATAGAAACCTTAACAATTTGAATTTTGCTTATTTTTTTGTCAGCCTTACCCATATTTGAGTGTCTGTGGCATGTAGGGGCAAGAGGAGGAGAGGCATGGGGTCAGGGTGTGC